GCCGAGACTATGCTCGATGTTGCCGGGCCCATCCAGGACTTGACGCCGGATAGTACCGTTGGGCGCGGCCCGATGGATGGTGCATACGCTGTGCAGAGCCCAGGCCTGGGCAGCAACTTTTTTGCACCGCAGTTCGGCGACGCCATGAGCGTTCATGGCAGCAAAGATAACCTGCTCACGCGCCACCAGAGCATGCAGACGCTCGGCGTGAAGAGCCAACTCGGCGGGCACTCCATGGCGCCGACGGCTCAGCGCACCGTGGTTAGCGGCGGTGACTATGGCCTCGGCCGCAAGGGCGACGCTTACAAGGGCGAGATCACATACGACGGGGATGTCGAGAACGGCGAGGGCCGCGTTATGATCGAGGAGAAAACGTCCAAGAAGCGCAAGATGTGGGTGGCGTTAGTCTGGTTCCTGACTTTCTGGATCCCGTCGCCATTCCTTCGGTATGTCGGTCGCATGAAGCGGCCGGACGTGCGCATGGCATGGCGCGAGAAGGTGGTGCTTATCTTCATGATTTTCCTTCTCAACGCCATTGTCGTCTTCTATATCGTCGAGTTTGGCTTGCTCCTCTGCCCGAACCTTAACAAAGCATGGGATGCAAAGGAAGTATCGTTCCATCAAGGCTCTAAAGATTACTGGGTCAGCCATCACGGCAAGGTCTACGATCTGACCAAGTTCTACAAGCTGCAGCACAGCGACACGGACATCACGACCGACGCCACGACGATGATGGAGTTTGCGGGCACGAACGTCGATGAGCTGATCAGGCCGCCGCTGACGCTCGCCTGTCCGAAGCTGGTCACGAGCGACTTCGTTATTCTGTCGGCCAACAACACCGTTACCGCCCAGACCGCCATCCACACGACCGGTCCGACCTTCCAGACGAACCCGAAGACGAAGCTCCATAACATCCGCTGGTACACGGAAGATTTCCTGCCCAAGATGAAGACGTTCTACAAGGGCGACCTCGTCTGGGATCCGAAGACCATCAGGGATCAGGGCGAGAACGATAACCGCATGTGGTTCCGCCTCGGCCAGAGCGTGTACGATTTGACCGACTACTTTTACACGCAGACCCAGGTGCAGAAGCAGAACCCGCTGTACAAGTTCTTCCCCGAAGACGTCGAGCAGCTTATCATGTCGAACCCCGGCGCCGACCTCCAGAGCCAGTGGAATGACAAGCTGAACGCGACGACGCAGGACAGCGCGCTGCAGTGCCTTGACAACTACTTCTACATCGGCAAGGTCGACTTTCGCCTGACGCCGAAGTGCCAGGTGCAGCCGTACATTCTGCTGGCCTTCACCATTGTCCTCTGTGCCGTCATCCTGACCAAGTTCCTGGCGGCACTGCAGCTTGGGTCGAAGCGCCGTCCAGCTCAGCAGGACAAGTTCGTCATCTGCCAGGTGCCGGCGTACACGGAGGGCGAGGAGCAAATCCGCAAGGGTCTCGATTCGCTAACGGCGCTGAACTACGACAACAAGCGCAAGCTCATCTGCGTCATCTGCGACGGCATGATTGTGGGCGGTGGCAACGACCGCCCAACACCCAAGATCGTCCTCGATATCCTCGGCGTGGACCCCAAGGTCGATCCCGCTGCGCTGCCGTTCAAGTCCGTCGGGCAGGGAGCGGAGCAGCTCAACTACGGCAAGGTGTACTCCGGTCTTTACGAGTATGAAGGAAACGTCGTCCCGTACCTGGTTGTTGTCAAGGTCGGGAAGGAGTCGGAGCAGAGCAAGTCGAAGCCTGGTAATCGCGGCAAGCGCGACTCGCAGATTCTGCTTATGAGCTTCCTGAACCGCGTGCATCACCGCTCGCCGATGTCGCCGCTTGAGCTGGAGATGTTCCATCAGATCAACAACGTTATTGGTGTGGATCCTGAGCTGTACGAGTACCTGCTCATGGTCGACGCTGATACCATGGTGCGCGAGGATTCGCTCAATCGGCTGGTTGCGGCGTGTGCCAATGACTCGAAGATTGCGGGCATCTGCGGTGAGACGAGCTTGGAGAATGAGGAACACAGCTGGTGGACCATGATCCAGGTGTACGAGTACTACATCTCGCATCACTTGGCGAAGGCGTTTGAGAGTTTATTTGGGAGCGTCACGTGTTTGCCCGGCTGGTAAGTGAACTGGATTCGCCATTTCGTATGTGACAAGGCTGACGGTCTAGTTTCTGCATGTACCGCCTGCGCACTGAGGATAAGCACAAACCGCTGCTTATTTCGGACCAGGTCATTGAGGAGTACAGCGACGGGAATGTGGATACCCTGCACAAGAAGAACCTGCTCTCGCTCGGTGAAGATCGTTACCTGACAACGCTCATGACAAAGCACTTCCCCCACATGTCCTACAAATTCGTGCCCGACGCGCTCGCCCACACCGCCGCGCCCGAGACATGGAGCGTCCTTCTCTCCCAGCGTCGTCGCTGGATCAACTCCACCATCCACAACCTCGCCGAACTCGTCTTCCTCAAGGACATGTGCGGCTTCTGCTGCTTCAGCATGCGCTTCGTCGTCTTCATCGACCTCTTCGGCACGCTCATCCTGCCCGCCACATGCGCCTACCTCGCCTACCTGCTCTACAAAGTCGGCACCCACTCGGGGCAATTCCCCATGATATCCATCATCCTCCTCGCCGCGGTCTACGGCCTCCAGGCCGTGATTTTCATCATCAAGCGCCAGTGGCAGCACATCGGCTGGATGATAATCTACATTCTCGCGTATCCGATCTACTCCTTCGTCCTCCCCCTCTACTCCTTCTGGAAACAAGACGATTTCTCGTGGGGGAATACACGTATCGTCATTGGCGAGAAGGGGGACAAGCAAATCGTCGCCGTTGCAGACGAGGGCTTCGATCCGCGCTCCATCCCGCTGCAGCGCTGGGACGATTACGCTACGCTTAACGCCCTTCCCGGGCGCCGCGGCGAGCCGGGCGAGAAGGTCGCGGGGATGATGGGGGGGAGCTACGACGGCGGGGCGTATGAGATGGATGAGATGCAGAGCGTGTACTCGTCTGTTAAACCGGCGTCGACGATCTTGACTGGCTTCCCTGGGCATGGGCCCGTGCAGAACGCGTACAATCTTCCGCGACAGAGTACGTATTCTGCGCTCAGCCTGAACGCGGGGCACGAGCGCATGATGTCCCTCGGCGGTGCGTCGCACGATGGCCTCGGTGCCGGTGCCGGCTATGCGCCCAACCGGTCGCCCTCGCCGGGCACACTGGGTCTGACGCCGCGGGCGAGCCAGGCTATGCTGCACCCCAACGCCTCCAGGCTCAGCGTCATGCAGCGCGGGAGCCCCCGGCTCAGTCGTCCTGTCAGCCAGGTTAACTTCATGGAGGGACCGCGGAGTGGGCCGAGCGATGCGGAGATTATTACTGCGATTAGGGAGTGTTTGAAGGAGGTGGATTTGGATACGGTGACGAAGAAGCAGCTTAAGGCGTTGGCGGAGGGGAGGTTGCAGACGCAACTTGTGGGGGAGAAGAGGAGGGTGCTGGATGAGGGGATTGATGTTGAGTTGGCGAATATGTGATGTGAGGGTAATTGAGGGGAGGGAAGGGAGTGGGGTGGGGGGGGGAGGCGGGGGCAGTTTGGGATGTTTGCGGCATTGTGCATAGGGTTTGTTTTAAGTAGCGTGTTGAATTGCTTTACTGTGGGGGGTTTAGTTGGGCAAAAGTAGCATGCATAAGTGTAATATCCGTTTTCTTATGGCTTTGTGTGATGGTGTTGCGATGCAGTGATGTGATATGGCTTTTGAGGTCGGAGTGGAGGTCGGGATGTAGGTGAGCTCACTTCCGTGAAGTTGACTTGATGCTAATATGGGTTCTACGTAGTAGGGCCGTCAACCCACGACTGACTGCGATAATCAGGGGCTCCGGGTGTACCCTACGGGGTTGGCGGGCATGGGCTGGATCTCACGCCAGGAAGGATGTATCCTGGGGGCGCGATCGGGACGTCTTCGCGATATCGGCGAATGTACTTTGGTACGTTGGGTGTACCTATATCATAGCCCTTCACGATATTCTGTCGAACATAAATTCTCCTGTCACTCTTGCCGCGCTCGAGGCTTCGGCAGTCCGGTTGCCTTCTATCCACTGTTACTGGTTACATCTGCCTTTGACGGCACCTGATGTGGACGTGAGGCAGGAACGTTGTTATGCCTGGAAGGAGGATACTTGTCTGAAGAGGGGGCATGATGTAATGGGCGTATGATGGGAGGAAAGAGCATAGGAGGATCAGCGTCAAAGGTGGCATGGGGGAGATCACTTCAGCAACGTTAGCTTAATGCTGATAGCGGTTCTAATTTAGGCACACTGCTTCACGACGCAAAATCCCTATCGTATTCTGCTCCTCCTTGCCGCAATAACATCACTGTACCACTCTCTTTCACCTTTATCTACCTATCCAGGTTCGACCACCAGCCACCATTCACCCCAAGCCCCCATCGTGTTGTCAACTCATGACAGCCTGAGATGATCAGGTACTCCCGCTACACCCGGAAGGCCAGCAGGCGTGGGTTGGATCCTACGCCAGGAAGTAACAAGGAGGTTGATGAGGTACCTGAAGTATTCTGCTCCCTGCGCACCCTTTACGGGCACAAGCATCATGTCGATCCAGCGATTCGGACGTGAGTTGTCGCTCCGAGGGCCGGTACCCGTGTGACAAGAGTATATGCCTGAGCCGCTTGCTGATGGACGCCTCCGCTCATTGAGCAGCTCGACCGTAATCACTTTTCACTGCGTTCAGAGACTAGCTCCACCTCCGCGCTGTTAAACAGGCGACGATTCCACCGAGTGCTCACCGGTCCGCCTCGCACACTCCTAAGAATAGTGCTCCATCAGCCAACACTTTATATCAAGAAGCCCGACCAGTACCCAAGTTAGGCTTCCGCCCGCTGACCTCTCCCTCGTCGCCAATCTCCTCCCGTCCGCATCCTCCCCCCAAGGCCCATTGCACTCACAACGTGTACTGATTACAATCGGCCATCCCCCATCAAACCGGCCGCGTGGCCTAATGGTAAGGCGTCTGACTACGATTTCCCTCCCCGGGGTTGTGATCAGGAGATTGCAGGTTCGAGACCTGCCGCGGTCATACAGCATCCTTTTTTGCCCTGCTACGTAGTGGCAGCCTCCGCCCACCAACTCCCTCACTGCCATCGTCGGAGTTCCGCACAAGTATCGAGGCTGAAGTTTTGCTGACGGAGGCGCAGGGGAGAGAGGGATGTGAGCGGGCAGGGCGGGCATGGCTGATGACGGGGGGGACCATCTTGTTTATCGGGCTTTGTGGGTGAGTGAGGAGCAGCTTGGACATCATGTCACCGAGGGTAAGCAGCGAACGCCGCAAATGTGAGGCCGGCACGGATATCCTAGCCAGAGGTCACGACGGCATCCGGTGTTGTGGTGTACTGGGAGGACGGACACGTAAATATCTGTGCGAGACAATTGGTAATCGGAGATCTTTTTAGATATGTCGCGAACTTGGCTACAGCAACGGCTTTCAACGCTCCGATTGCCTTCCTTTTCGTGGTATGAGACACGCGGGATTGGCCGAAGCTTCCGCATGTACAGATATATTCCCGAATTTGGTCTGTGGACGGACCCGAAGGTTATGCAAGAATCATTGTCCCGTCGTCTGGGCATCGAACGTCGTCTGGGCATCAAAGGGGACGTGGAGACCGCAAAACTTTTGAAGTGGCCCGTAGATCGTGCTCCGAACGTCCTTTGCTTCCTGGCCTCGTATCCCCACGTTTTCTGCAACGGGAATCTCAAACAAGCCTTATAGTAGCATTGCTAAACATTCCGTTTCCCGTCACAAGAAGTAAGCTTTCCGACTGGGCGTCCGTTTCCATGCCAGCACCGCGTCCCAGGCCCCCGGCAGCAACCACGCATCACGCACGCAGGCGACGTAGGACGAGACCCCGCATCTCCCACAGCACAGCACTTAGCTGAAATGCACAGTCAGCACACGGCACCGCGCAAAACCCCCGCATGTTGAGCTCTTCGCCCACGAGATGTACAGGACATGTCAGCTTAATTCCCACCACCCGCATCGCCAGCATGCTCATCCATGAAGTTGAACTAGGGCTCATGCCCAAGCCAGGCCCCCCGCCATCCCGTCCCCAAGTTTTCGCCAACGCCGGGGAGGCGCAGGCTTGGGCGCAGGCTTGGTGAGCTTAATTTGCGGCCAAAGCTTACCCGGCGAAGCATGGTTGGCGCAGCAAACTCCCAGAGTGCATCAGGCAGCAGGGCGGACCAATCGCCGTCCTCCAGTTTTGGAGGATTGCTGACGGGTAGATGGGCGCCGTGGGGCTGAGCTCAGCCCGGGCGTGGTTTCCGAAAGGGGGTTGATTTGGTGGCATTTTTTTTTCTCGATGTGTTGGTGGGGGATGTGGTGTGGTGGTGATGCGTGCCGGCTGACGGGCGGAGCGGCCACCGCCTGGTACGGCATGGTGGAGGATGAGTACTCCGCATTGCAAGAATAGATGGACGGCGGCATCAGCAGTTGCCGTGCGTGGTGGTGTACGATGCGCAGGACGTGGTATAAAGCGCCATGTGTTCCCTCTGTTGGATATCCTTCTCACACCAACCAGCACTAAACCAACAAAACCAAGCTCCATCTTTCCTCATCTTTCCTATTTTCCTATATTTCCTTTGTCTATTCAGTCTTTCGCCCTCGTTTAGCAAAGCATCATCCAGACCAGCAAGACTACAATGCGCTCTATAATCGCCACCGCCGGCCTCGCTGCCCTCGTGTCCCTCGCCTCCGCTGCTCCCGCCCAAGCACCCGTCAACCAGCCCCCGATCATCTCGGACAACATCCAGAGCGCGACGCTCAGTGCCCCGACACCCAAGAGCACCAACAACGGCGAGATCTTCCCGCTGTCCGACGGCTTCCCCAACCCCAGTCCTCAGCAGATCGAAGTCATTGAGATCCAGGCCCACGGGTCGCTGCCGAACGGCGCGCCGCCCCCGACGATCTCCAATGAGGGGATTATAAACCTGCAGCTTATTGCGTTCAATGAGTTGTTCGAGGCGGCCTTCTTCGCGGACCTCATCTTCAATATCACGAACCATGTCCCTGGCTTCGATATCCCGGACCCGGGATACCGGACTCTGGTCATTGAGACCCTGACCGCGGCGCTCGCTGTACGTACCTTCCCTTCCAGTTCTTTGACAATGAGCCTCAACTGACACCCCACAGCAAGAAGAACTCCACCTCCTCAACGCCAACGGCGCCCTGAAGCACTTCAACAAAGACCCCATCCAGCCGTGCCACTACACCTTCCCAACCACCAACTTCGAAGACGCCATCGCCCTCGCCGCGACCTTCACAGACGTCGTCCTGGGCACCCTGCAAAACGTCATCGAAATCTTCGCTGCCAACGGTGATGCCGCGCTCACCACAGGCGTCGCCTCCGTCGTCGGCCAGGAAGGCGAGCAAGACGGCTTCTACCGCATCCTGCAGAACAAGAACCTGATTCCCAATGCGCTGCCCTTCCTCACCACATCCACGCGCGACTTCGCCTTCTCCGCGCTGCAGGGCTTCGTCATCCCTGGTACCTGCCCGAACGAGAACGAGATCCCGCTCTCCATCTTCGGCGTCCTGAAGCTCGTCACTCCCACCGTCAAGCCCATGGACCAGACCCTGACCTTCAGCTTCGACGTCAAGACCCTGAACCCCGCCACGCTGCTCAACTTCAAGGGGTCGAACTGGGCGAAGCTCGGGTCCACGACTGACTTCTCGCACTACGACTGGAGCCAGCTGACCCTGCAATACATCAACCAGCAGAACGTGCCGGTCGCCGAGCCTTTGACCAACGTCCGTGTCTCCGGCACGGTCATCACCTTCGACGCGCTCTTCCCCTTCAACGAGTTCCTCATGAACGGGTTGACGATCGCGGCGGTGACGGTGGGGACTGGCTTCACGAGCGCGGTGGACGTGAGCAAGGCGACGCTGTTCGCGCCGGCTTTGATCGAGGTCAACTAAAAAGCTCCCAGGGAGGGGAGACACGAGGGTGTTGCGACGGTCGTCATGGTCTTGCTGCATTGGGTGGCGTTCAGCATTTTTGTGATTTTTTTTCTACATTGCATGGATTTTTTTGCGGGCAGCTCCGCGAAGCGGGTATTTTTAATGGTTTTGTTCGATTCTTGCTAGACATGCAGGGAATTGACGCCTGCTGTGTCCTGGCCACATTCGTTTTAGCTGGTTCATATTCAATATAGTCCGCTCGTTTATCCTGATCTTGGGCTCTGGGATGTGAATCAGTGACTTGAGCTTGCATCACTTATCCAAGGAGAGAGAGGGAGAGGCATACGAATACCGAACCTCACGGACGACCTACAGTCCTTCCTCTCCGGCAAGACTGACCAGTCGTACTCGAATCAATCCCCGCCAACTGTATCAAAATCGGCCCTCAATCTGCTTCCAATAGGAAAGCCCTCTGCTCGCGTCAGCCTTTCAGCTTGCCCCTCACGGCAGCTCTGCAAAGCGAACTGCAATCATCTGTACCCTGAATGCCACGTAGGTCCGCCCATCAGCTCTGCTCTGGCTTGCACATAAGATTAAGCGGGGCACGAAAAAATGCCCGTCAGACTGTAGTGCAATCTTGTCAGCACGCGGAAAGCTCCTGTGTGCCGAATATTCCAGATCGGGGTTTTTGGGGCCTTAAAGTGCATATTTCCTGGCGTGATGGGAATTGCTGCAATTGAAGGCCTTTTCGTCTTTCTCGTGCTGCAGGGTCCATCTGGGGAGTTCAGCCGCAAGGGAAGTGGAGACAGAAGCTGACAGTAGATCAGCTCTGTCGGCAGGTACCAGCTCTTCTCGGCGAGGACGGGCGGATGGCGTACTTGGAATCGGTGATGTGACGATAGGAGGGGAGAGACGTCATGAGAGAAAGAGGATTCCGAGATCGAACCCAAACAGCTGTCAAAAATTGGTCACTGCTCCTGCCTCTTTCGGATAGTAGGAAAAGGTGACAAAAAGAATGCGGCCACCGAGTCTCGAGCATGCGACTTTGTGCAAAAAAAGCTAGCTGAAAGTGGTTTCGATCCACCGTCCTCCGGGTTATGAGCCCGGCGCGCTTCCGCTGCGCCATTCAGCTGATTGGATAGTGACATAACGCAAAATTGTAAATATGACTATCAAAATTTTAGTTTTGACCGATATAAAAATGGACGCCGGTTCAACCATTACTGTGCTCACTTATCTGGATATCACCAACTCATGAACCCAAAGCACCAGCACAGACATTATACATTTTACTCAACCCTCCCCCTCAACTACCTAAGCAGAACCTTACCCTCTAGCATCCCCCCACCCGCAAACCAAGCCCAAGCACTCACCCTACAGCAGAAGAAGCCCCCGCAGGAGCGCCCTACAACAGCAACTCAAACGGATTCTCAACCGCCCTCTTCAACTCCCTCATAAACTCGCCCCCAACCGCCCCATCAACAACCTTATGATCAAAGCTCCCCGTAAGCACAATCTGCTCATCCCACTCCACACCCGGGACACCATCCTCGTCCAGCTCGCCCGGGACCGCAACCTTCTGCGTCGTGCCCACAGCCACAATCGTCGCCTGCGGCGGGTTGATCACGGCCGTGAAGCGATCGATCGCCGGGTTCATGCCCATGTTACTGATCGTGATCGTACCGCCCTGGTACTGCTCGGGCTTGAGCTTGCCGTCGCGCGCCAGCTTGCCCAGCTCCTTGACTTGCGCTGAGATGCTCTCCAGCCCCAGCCCATTGACGTTCTTGACAATGGGGGTCATGAGCCCGATCGGTGTGGCCACCGCGACGCTCACGTCCACGACGTTGTGCTGGCGGATAACCACTTGCCCGTCCACCGTGCGCCAGCTAGAATTCGCAGCCGGGACCTTGCGCGCCGCGACCGCAATAGCCTTGACCAAGAAGTCGTTGACAGACAGCTTATACTTCCCGTCGGAGGACGCATTGAGCGCCTGGCGCAGTTTGAGCAGCTTGGAGACAGACACAGCTGACGCGACGAAGTAATGCGGGTTCGTCTGCATGGACTCCGTGAGGCGCGCGGCGATCGTCTTACGCATGCTCGTCGCGGGGATGTCCTCGTAAGCA